ACTCAGCAGGCTCAAACGACACCAAAGCTTCGATGTTCCGGACTTGGCAGGAAGTTCAGGAGAGAAGTGGCCTGCCGGCTCTGCCCCTCACGCAGAGCAAATGCGAGACGTTTGTGGCAGTGCTTCGTGCTGCGGGCTATCGATCATCCTTTTCCTATCTCCTTGAGGCCAGGCAACAGCATCTTCGAGCAGGATACCCATGGAGCCACCAGTTGGACATCGTGATGAAAGACTGCAAGAGGGTTGCAACCAGAGGCCTAGGCCCTGCCAAGCGCTCCGAAGAGGTGCGCATCGAGTGGTGGCAGAAATTGTTTGAGTTGGAGGGTTTGAAGATGGCTGAGAAGCCGCTGGCACCGTTTGGAGGCATTCTTCTTTGGGCATTAGGCTCTCACTTCCTCCTTAGGGAGGGCGAGTTGGCAATGCTGGACCTACATGAGAACACCATCCGGTTGGACGAGGTCGCGAAGACCATCACCCTCTCCCTTTCGGTGAGCAAATCGGATCCAGGGGGGAGAACGGCCAGGAGAACGCTCAGGTGCTGCGGTGCGGAAGACGACACGACCTTCCATGGGCTACTCTGCCCCTTTGAGGTAGGCTTTGAACTGGTGGAGAGGCAGAAAGCACGCACGAAGGCCGACCGCTCAGCCACATCAGCCTTCTCCATCCCCTTGGTCGGCCAACGAGGAAACCCATTTGCCTTCACTTGCAAGACGGAGGTGGTGCTCGCGGCCCAGCAGGACGCTGAGAGACTGACACGCTCAGTTGAGGAGGCATCGTCAGTCGAGCCCGCGAAGATCACAGGACACTTCATGCGCAGGTCTGGAGTGAAACGTTTAGCCCGTGCAAACACGCCGAAAGAGGTGATCATGAAGATGGCTCGACACAGCAGCAATGCCATTGAGGCCTACATCGAGGACGCCATGGAGGAGAGTCCAGATATGGCCACTATCCTCACTGACCACGAACAAGTCCAAGCGGCACTCAACGCCTTTTGGAAGGACCTCGATGAGCTCAAGGATCAGGTGAAGGTGACAGCGGAAGCGGCTGCAGAACGGCCGTCGTCAAGCAAGGCGGCATTGGAGAGCTTGGACACCGAGGTGAGACGAATGTGGGACAACATTCGTCCGGCCTACATTCGTAACACCACCACAAACAAGGTTCACTCCACCCAAGCATGCCTGTTCTGGGAAGTCCCGTCCGCATGGGCGACGAAATGTGGGTGGAAGTGGGCTGCTTCTTCCAAAACAGTCACTTACGTGAGCGAAGACGAGCTGAATCAGTTCCCGCTCTGTGACAAGTGCTTTGCATAGATAGGGCCTGGAAAGTTCACTTTAACTCTATAGTAGCATAAGGGACAGGCAGGAAGAAAGGAAAGAAGGGAGAGTCAGTGCATGGTTTGTTTGTTTTGAATGTGCCATCGAGTTGC